CTTGACTTACCGAAATGACCCTCGTAAATCTCTCCACAAACCTATCCTGCCAACAAACGTTTCTGTACTGAAACCACGGAGCGAAAGAAGAGATATGCCCTATGTTAACTAATTCTGTGTTATCATATCCGTGTGTCTGTCCCTTGTAATAAGTTTTGAATCAGTTGGGTGTGAACATATGAAAGACCTTCAGAATACACGCGACGTTTAAGGGGAATTTTTTTAGTTAAACAAGAATATGATGGTATTGCAAAATTTACTCTGTATTTATATTTCGATATAATAGCAGTAAATAATTAACTATCGGGGTACATGTGAAACATTGCATGGAATTATACCTTCGATCCTCAATATTGTGTGTACCACCTGTTCTAACATTTAATAACTACATTTTGCCCGCAGTGTATTTATGGGTTTCATATAGTTCTCAGAATGAACAATGGTTTTTTCGTTAAACAACATTAACGAATTGGCCTTTGTAACGCAGATGTGTTATATTCTTTGAGGTAGCAATTGAATTTTTAAATATTATTCATGTGAGGCATCTTCGGGCTTCAAATTGTTCAAGAAAATTACGATAAATTTTGTTTGCTGCATTTTCTGTACAATAACAATTCCAAATATGCTGATGGGTGTTGAACATCGTCGTATTTGACAAATTTAACATAGTGAAATCGTACACAGAAACGGATAGCTATAGTTACACATAGCCTTGACATACTATGTATTAAAACATTTAATGGAAAGCTAACGTCATACGTCCTTCTAAGAACTTCTTACTAGAAGCCACGTGGCATAGAACTATCAACATAGTCAAACATGATTACCATTCAATGAAAGAGAACCAGGCGCTGGCATAATTCCACATGACATGGGTTCGCTGTGTCACACGTGTTTCAGTGCTATTTTGCAAGCTGTTTGTACCTTTATTTTAACAAACACTTGCCGTCAAAATAATTTAACACATAATACTACGAATGTAAATACATAATACAAATTTGGAGATGGTTTGTTTGATGTTTTCATATTTAGGAAGAGGGTGTGGAATGAAACTTTTGTATTCTAAGGAAATGCCACAGCATGTACCTGGACGGACTGGGAAAACGACGTCGATAGACGGTTTCCGCTGTCGAATTTTGAATCATGGTCAAACTACCGTACTGCCGACCCAAATTTGCTTGCCCTGGAAACAAAATTCTATTTGCATGTTTATTTATTATTGCACGTTACAGGTCTGTACCTACATAGAGCTATGCGGAAGAATACCTGCACCGGTTCTCGACTAGCCATCCCGACGTTACAAATCCTGATTACTGCTCGTATTATGTTGGTTGCTGTTGTTATAGAAGAATCGCACAACTTCAGTATTAAGGACTGAAAACAACCAAGTACCTAACCGACACGTGGTAGCAGATTCTGAAGGTTCAACATCGTTCTTTTTTACCAAGGCCCGTTATTGCCTGTTTTGTTTAGTGGCGAATTCTGGTCTAGAAGTCTGGTCGTGAGGAAATGCAGTATCATTAAATTATCTCAACAGTGATAATGATAATTATATAATAAGCTGCTGTTTTGTTATATAGTAAAATATTCATTTTTTGTATTCCCCCAGTTTTAGTTGTCTAAAGACGCATTAATAGCCAAATCGGAGTATTTGCCTTGGTATTATTCCAAAGAATACGTCCAATTCCGAATCGTTTGGAAAAGTTTTGAAGCATCAGGTTGTCAACCCTGCACGCAACATTCAATCTGGTGGGACAACAGTTGTTACCAACTTTTGTGAAAACCGTCCAGTTGCTTGAAAAGCTATCATCACCGTACAAAGCGTTTTGTCTGTCCAGAAATTGACCTGAAAGTTCGAAATTTGCTTTGTGTTCACTGACGGTCATCATCAACAATATACATTGTACAGGAATTTGGGTGTTTATTAACATAATTTTGTACGTAATGGTAAAGAAAATAGTTCCAAAATCCTAACCGCAGTTGTACCACTGTCGTTCTAGTAACTCTCGAGTTGAATCTGATTGTATCTGTACCGTCAAAAATTTTGTGTTTGACGATTAGATGACGCCGGAAGGAGTCAGTAGAACGTGTGCAAAAGTGAAGTATTAAAATCCTTATAATAGGACATTATTTATGAAAGTAATATGATGTTGATTCGCGTTACTTCTCTTTGTGTGAAAAACCATGGGCGCAGAAGAAGCGTTGTAAGATAGCTGAAGACATCGTATGAAGCTGATCTTGTAACCTTCAGTGTGTCTGCACGATGTTCGCCCGCCAGACGGAGTTGCGTGATAGGCACCAATTGAGGTGAGGTTTGTGATAATAGATGAATTGGCACGATGTGGCTATAATCAAGGGTGAACAAATGTTGGCTCAACAGTAAAATTAAAGTTTATTTGTCATGTGCCTCAATGAATCGAACGCAAAGACAGGCCCGTGTGTTTATAATACTTCGAAAAATACCCAGGTTTAGGAATCGATAAGTTTCTTCATATTATACGGGAATGAGGTTGCTCGGTATCCCTTCTACCACCCATTCCACCCTTCCTGTGTTTTACGTGTCTGGAATTTCAAGCAAGTTTTGGCATGCGGTGGGAAGTCATTATATCTTGTGTGTTCTGTGTTGTGTTTTCTTGTATATTTATTTATGTCTTTCAATTAAACGTACACCTCCTTTATGTTTGTCAAATATTATTGTACTTTATCTGCTAAAGTTTCCTGCATTATTTATGTTACATTTGTACCCGAAAACTCATTCATGTGGGCACAAAAATTGCTGATTTATATTTATGTTATCTAAGTACATGTATTGTGTAGATATGAACACTGTTGAACGTTATCTTCTGAAGTATGTTATTTATGTTAAATTGTTAACCTGAATATTGTAACACACAACGCAATTACTGTATTATTTTACGAACTTACGTTTTTTTTTAATTTCAGCAATGCCCTATATGTTAAATATTTGTATATTGTCTTTTGTCTTCCAAAGGGCATTGGGTTTCCTTGAAAATGAGGTACCACTAGTATTACAGCTTTACAAATTGTCTGGCATCTTTCTGTTTTTCTATATCTTAATACTTTGGGCATGGAAGGAAGGTGAGTTTTATAACGCCCCTAAATAAGTAGAAAATAATGCAGAATTTGGGGAGAATATAGTTAAAATAGAAGGATAAATTAATTGTGATCTACAAAATTATTCATTTTGGCTTGACTATTTGATAGTTTGAAACGGTACGATGGTGTGAACTTTGGGGTCATACCCGAGAAAGGTAAAGTTGTAGGATTATGTACTTTTGGAAATTATGTACATGAATAAATTTTATACGCCTCTCGTTCGTGGTATTCTGGGTCACGCCATGTAGTCACATGGTGTCTATCCTGAAGATGAAAGTGATACGTTCCACCGAAAATATGATTATTACCTACGAGACTACTCGCAACTAGAAGACCACAGCCAAAATTTTCACAGTCGTGAAGACATTTCATACATAGACATAATTATATATTTATTTACGATTATTTGTGGACTTGCTATATGGACTAAAGTATTTGAATGAAAGCAGGGGTCATAAGTTCTTACTAATACCTCTTTAAGTTAAGAGCGTCTTCGTTTCGTATCATTTGGTATTTAACATACTTACAACAGGACAGACCACTATACTTTTCCGTATCTTGTTACCTGTGACAAAGAAAGGGACGTGCAGAGGCTTCTGTTTCTCATTTTGTTTCATGATGGAGTTTGGTAAAAAGTGGCCGTGACGTTTCGAGTGTCCATTTCAGATAGGGAGCAGTGTTGCTTCAATTATAAGTCGATAGCGGCGCACGCACGGAATGAATTCTTTCTTTTTTATAGTTGGATTCCTCTCCTGGTCCACACAGCGGTTAAAAATGGTAACTTCGTGTGCCTTCATGTTCAAGCACGCCTGATAACTGGACGAAACACATTTAGTTAAATTTAAGGAAGTATTTTGATGATTTTAACTTCATAATAAAGACTTCGCTGACCGTGAAACGAAGTAACTGAAATTGATTTATTGGAGTGTAAACAGCGATTAATTGACCGTGTGGGAGGCCTTTCCTTGATATCATAAGTCGTTAAGTAACAGTATTGTTTAAAATGTGTTTTATGCGTATAATACCTATTATGTGGCAACACAGGTATCACCGGGAGATTTTTCTTAAGTAGTTAATTGGCAATATTGTTCAAAATCTGTTTTGTTAAATATGTATGTTGTGTGTCTAATACTTCGTTGGTGGCAACACCGGTAAGACAAGTGGCCCCACTGGGTATTTCTAAATGTCAATGGAAGGGCCTCTTCTCACATCGGTGTTGCCATCTGGTAAAATAAATGTCAGAGAAAGGAACGGAAAAAAAGATGTTATCATTGCTAGTCTCTTAACACTGAAAAATCTGTAGCTTAAACATCGCATTAGTGCAAGCGTCTATGGACGGCAGAAAACGTTCCTGAATTTTCCAGAACTTTAATAAATTCTTATAGTTTACTTACTTTTGGTACCAAAAACTAAATTTCTTTCGCACGTCTCAGCGGCTGGCTTCCCCAGATCGTTTCTCCCATTTTCTTATCTTCCTTCTGTTCTGTGTCTCATGCGGTTTGTCTCTCCTATTTCAAAACGCTTTTTTCTGTGACAAGTGACATCCGACTGTGGAAAATGTGTTTTGACGTTGACAGTGGTCATTGAGTACTGGCGACAGGCATCGGATATAATATAACGCAAAAGAAACACAAAGGTAGGCAAGCCAGTCATCATCAAAGCTTCTCTGGCTACTGATCGAATCTAGATGACCAGTCTAGAGAGTTTATTTGGAGCGTGGGTAGACTTTCAAACAGCAAAGAACTCACCGCGACTCCCGTAAAAAAAGCATGGTTTATATACAGACTAAAAATTTGTGATGGGAATCAGAAGGGCTTGTTTTATTACCAGTCTTAAACACAGCATGACTGGATTCCTGTGACCTGGCCCGACGGTTTTATTCCTACTCTTTCGTTCCAAGTGGGAAAAGTATTCAGAATTGGCACACATACGTGAATGAGAGAGAGTAGAATTCGCTGCCCTGAGGAATTCAAGCAAGAAATATAGGACTACAATAAAAGAAGTTTGTTCCGGGGGGGGGGGGGGGGGGGGGGGTAGTTTAGTTTCTTACTCAATATTTTATATTTGGTTGCTTTTCAAACACTAGAGAAAGCGCTCCGAAAGGTGCGCGTTGCTCTAGTAATTTAGAAACACAGACGTATTTGCGTCAAATTCTCCGGAACTGTGGTTTCACTGTCAACTTCTTTATACCTCTAAAAATTTAAATATCTTGGTATCAATGGGAGATTTACAAGTGTATGTTTAATTTATCCTTAATAGATTTATATAATGATCCATTCTTGAGGTTTCTGGACAAGGGATTACTGTACTTACATATCTGTTTTTATACCTTTGGAGATGGAGGTAAGGGTAAAGATGTTTCATTTGGATCAATATAAGGGATTAACCTCGAGTTCTGGTCCCTATATTCTCGGTGCCATTGTTTAAATGGCTTTTACGGCTACCCGGACGTCGTGGCCAAGAAATTCGAGTCCCATAGCCAGTGACTTAGCAAACTGATTATTACAAAATTCTACTCATTGACAAAAGTTTTGCACAATAAAGTGTTACAAAACTTTTTTTTATATTTTGTCTTAACATTTTACGTATGATCTTTTATTTAAATTACTATATAGCCTTGTTGTTTGGGATGAATGTTCAACATCTTGAATTTTATGTTATACAGTTCAGCAGAACAATCATTATAAACTTTTGCTTGAATTCATCAATCTATGTTTTGTAAACCAACTATTTCTTCTTCCGTTTCTGTCTTAATTTCTTTATTTCTTCTCTCTGCTTTATCGCACATCATGTTTTCTTAATGTGACTGCACTCCATTACATTTGTATGGCAAATGCTGTATCGTAGCAATGTAATTTCGTACGAAGTGCTTTAAAGAAGACGACAGAAATATTTTGCGGACAGAAGATCAGAAGGCATTGAACATTCACTCTGCTTTATTGCTGCAACTTTATTTAAGTGGTTTTATTATGAATTATTGAGGTTTGAATAGAAATTTCCAAGGCCATCTTTAAGTTTCTTTCATCCGACATTCTTGAATTGGAGTTAATGGCTGTTGTTATAAAACAGCTATAAAATTTACAGAATTTTTAAATGTAAGCGATTGGACTGTAACCTCATCAGCTACACACATTCTGTTTGTAACTTGGCGTTTGATGGCCACTGGGGTCACTGTTCAGAGTGCGCATCATTGCATGTTTATCTTTAAAAATCCTGCACATGATATATAAAGTAACGCACTTTAAATAAAAAATTGCAAAATTATAGCTTTGATTTTGTACAAACGTATCCTAATAATGCAAATAGTATAAATTGTGAATTTCTATTCTGCTTATATGGATAATGAAATAACTAAAACCAGAACCGATTTTGGACATTTTAAATAGGCATGTTTAAGCAGTTGAGTTTAACGTGTTGATAGAATGCAAGGAGACAGATTTCTAAAACTTACAAATTATAAACTATGGATTAAGGGATCCAGGTTGACCTTCAAAGAAACTTTACATGATCTAACCCTTTGACTACTAGATGCTGCTGCTGATGATGTATTCTTATGGACGAACAACATGGCATGATGTATAGAAATCATGAATACGAATGAATGTATCCTCATAATGTAATTTGCTATTACGTTAGTGGTAAGTTTTCTGAATGTATTACCTTCCTTTGTTGCAATATTGCAAGTGATATTACATTTCTAACATTTGTAATTCATGCTAAAGTAGATCTACACCACCCAGATGACCTTCCATATCGTAGTTCAGAACGTGATGAATTGTCTTGTGTTTGGGATGTCCCTGTATCGTGTCATAGGTTTTTTTGTTGGGTGAGATACTAGGAAAGTGATTATGAAACATTTAATCGAATCCAGACCAATCTCCGCCCATTTTTTGTAAAGTTTTAATTTTAATATCCCTCATCATCTGTTATGTGGCAGAATAATCAATCAGCCACGGTATTTACCGGGATAGCTCCACGTCCGAGCTTCGATTCCCTGCAGGGGCAGGGCGTCACGCCCATGCCATCTCCAAGTTCCATTCATCATTCTGTCCAGTGTGTTTGGAGGCATTTTTTAGACGGCTAAGCGGTTAGATTGGTATACCGGTACTTGATAATCCGATGAAATAATTAGTAGACTGTATAATTTATTGATTGATGAAAGGGATTCTTACATTTGTTATCGAGCCACGTTGTTGCAAACATGTGATCCTTAATTGCACCAAAATTATACAAGAATCGTGTTGTATAAATATACTGTTATATCAGGACCATAATTCTGGTGAGATGTGTGCAACCAAAGCAGCCAAACGCAAGAAATTCTCGAAATTCCCAAGATAAGTTCAAAGTTTGGGATTTAAACCGGCGTGGCACTAAATTTACTTATTGAAGATTTCTGTCTTCATACTCACCTCTGTGAAAACCTCAAATCTTACAATTTATTTATTGTTGACTAGTAAAAATTTACACCATCAACTGAAGTGGCAAGGGCTGGTGTTCATTTCTTCCCAGGTCAAGCTGCGTGGCAGAGGAACCTTTCTGCTTTTGATGTGTCAGCTTCCAGTAGGAGGATAGCTAGCAAATCTCAAATTCTCTTGAAACTAACTGAAAATATAGACCTGCGTGTACGAATGTACACGTTGTCCGGCATTTTTAATCCACCTATTTTGACAAACATTTGTTTAGAGATTATGACATTTATATTTAAAACAGAAACAAACATTAGATAACTAAGCGTAAATGAACAGTCAATTAGGCTACATCTTCATGGAAAACAATCCTTGAAGAGCTAATAATTTTTTCCGGTTCAAAAAATTTCCCACGTTTTAATGAAGGCGTGTAGGATTTGAGTTCTCACGGCGGTGTGTCTGACATGGCTGTCTTTTGGGTTGAAGAGCCGTGGAGTCTGGTAGATGTTTACCGACGTTTCAAAGGTACTTGCTATCTTCAGTGACGAATCGCTCGTCGCGAGCCAAATGAATGAGTTCGCATATTCACATTCTGTTTCTTTGAGAAAAATTTTGATATTTTAGTCCATTTTCGCCATGTTTTCCCAAGTAGTCTTTTCCTCACAAGATTTCCGTCTGTTTTTTTGTTTTTTTGTATTTAGTTTTCATTTTTCCATGTGCACTACATACCCTGATAATTTTATCCGTCTTAATTTGACCACCTTAATAATATTCAATAAATAATACGAATTTTGATTTTTATAATTGTGTAATTCTTTAGCCTTCCGAACAATAGCGTAAATAGAGCAACGCAAACGAACTGTAATGTGTGGCCACAGCACAGGCAACTGAAGAAAACTCTGGTGTCAGGAAATTACTCTTGCATCTTACTTAATCCCTTAGAAGTATTTGACGATCGCGTGCCCTTTGGTAAAAGCCAAAGATTGTAATGATTCAGTGCAGGCATGTGCGACAAACAAAGTCAATAGGCGATTATTTAATAGGCTTGTTCATAATTTTAAGCAGAGACGCCCGCCTAGTGCAGAGAACAGAATGCGAGTCGAGTGAACTGTAAATGCCGGTGATCAGGAGGAAGTTATAAGAGCCAGCCAGCCAGCTTGTTAGGATAGCCCCCTGGATGCAAAATGGCGGTGTTGATACCAGCTGGACACGCCTACCCGTCACGCTCGCCTTGTTTACGCACAACAACCCAACAATTTAGCGCAATAAGTGCTCTGGCCCCATCATTTCTTGTGAAGATGAGTTAGTGTTGGTTGTGTTGAGTGAGGGGCATACACTAGGGGTGCCCATGCATGTTTTTGTGTCATTTATGGCGATGTACTTTCTGTGAGGATGATGTGTGCTGTGAACTGAAAGTCCAGGGGAGAACAACCGTTAACAGCAGCAAATTATTTTCTTACCTGGTAAAAAACACCATATATCTGTTACAGAGATCGTTTGGTTAATGCAATTGAAAGAAACAGTGGTTGTTCTGATAAATACGAGACCAATGAGGACTTAGAGCGGATTTGCTGATTGTTAAAGCAGTTGCTAAGGGTCTACAGCTACCAACTATTCTGGAGCTGAATTGGCTTTTAATCAGTTATTTCAAGGTTTATTTGAAATAGTAAATTAGTTATATTCCTTGTGTTTGCCTATTCATTTGTTCAGTTCCGTAGAATTTGTGGTTTCAACGGCTGTGAGTCCGAAGATGGCTCATGGCCCTGATGATGGAGGCAGCAAAAACCTCTGAAACGTTAGTAAACTTATACCAGACTACACGGCGCAACAAACCAAAAGACAGCCATGTTTGTGA